CCAGGCTCTCCGACCCCGACCGAGTGACCCAGCGGACCTCTTATGCCGTCTGCCTGGGAGAAAAGGGGGACAGCTCGTACCACGGGAGCCAGTGTGCGGCGGGGAAACCACCTGCTAGGACCAGGGGACGACATCAGGACGGACGTGGCCCTGGCAGACGTGGACTACTCGGAAGCAGCGGACTGGAGGAGCAGGACCCTGGAGACATCTCTACAGCATCGACCCGGAAGCCGCCATCAGCGGGCCGGAGGACGACCAGGAGGAAGACATCTCTCTAGCAGGCAGCCCAGAAGCTGCTGTCAGCGGATCGGGGGGACAAAGACACGGCAAGCCAGGACGGCACAGGGGACTTGTCGAGGCAGCAGAGGAGTCTACTTCTCTCTGATCAGTTCCACCCGTGAAGGGCAAGCCGCATCTCCCCGGGGGCGGGGGGCTGATGATTCTAGCACTCAGCTGCCCCCTCATGGTTCCTTCACTGCCATGGAAAGTGGTGTTCTGTCTCCATGAAGTTTTCAAGTACTCTAAATACCAGCTTCGGATGGATTTATACAATGTTTGGGGGACGGACACAGTAGAAAAGAATGACAGTGGGTATATTTCAAAATGCCTTGTCTAAGTTTATCTCTGGAGAAGGAGATAAAAAGGGGGATTTGTAGAGTTATATTTGTATTTATTCATGTTAGCAAACTATGGATAAGCTTAAAATGGGAATAATTGGGGTGAAACTGTAAGCTGGATTTGGGGCCTTTTGACATGTGTTTTTGAGGACAAAGGAAGATGGGGGGAAGGTGAGAGCATGTCTTGATTTGCATTCAAATGCTCTAGCTACAGTGGTTGGGGAAACCTAAGGTCGGAGGTGTCTGTGATATTTGGGCGGCCAATCAATGAGCTCCAAAGGGGAGGATCTGATAACTCCTCCCATTGTCAAAGAGTATAAACAGACACACACGCGGTGTTCAGCCTCTTTCCTCTGGCTGGCTCACGTGCAGGTAAATTCGGGATCCCAGGGATTAACTGTGTTGAATTTGTACTGTATTGATTGTATTGTATTGTCATATTATCATTAAAGTAACGGTTATTTGGTAGCTCTGGATTCCGTCCTGTATTAACCAGCTTGATAGGGACGCGCAGAGATTTGAAAAGCGGACCAGTTATCCCTTTAAATCTCTAACAACACACACACCATGTATACATCACTTCAGGGGACTATACATTGACTTACATGCATTTCCTGGAGACTTATCCTAAACTTAACCATAAAAAACACATGCCTGACCCTAACCCTTGCCCTTACCCTAACCCTAATCCTAAACCTAACCAAGTCTTCACCCTAAAATTAATGATTCCCCCCATGGGGACATCCATTGTGTCCCCATAAGGGAGACGAGTCCCCACACGTGACCGTGTAAACAGATGTAGGTCCCCACAAGTATAGTAATGCTAGGCCACACACACACACACACACACACACACACACACACACACACACACACACACACACACACACGTTACAGCATGTGACTATTTGACCTTCTCTTTCTATAGCATTTATTTTTATAACAACTACTTTTTATCACCTTATCAAGAGCAAAACTTATGAGGAACTTATTGTTCAACAGTGTGCGCCGTTATTGTATTCAAACTTCTTATCTTGCACCTCTCTCTTTCAGAAGGTGGCGGTCCAGAACATATTTCATTTTGAGCAAACCCAGTATGTCCTCTGTATGGATGACATTGAGGAAATTACTTTTATATCCTACTGATTTTCAACAGGGAATGCATTTTGAAAGTGATATTGATTTTACCAGCTTATTTACCTTATTTGTGATCATAGGACGCTTTTTTATGTATTTATATAACATCAAAGTGTATAGATTGCTGCATCAGTCAGGGTCCAGTCTTAATCTATATTTTTACCAAATTAATTGATACAAAAAAAAGTATTCTACACATACTACAGTGTAGAAATACAGTGTGGGTGTTAGTTCTTGGCCTTTGTAATAGTAGTTTTAGTGTGTGTATTATTTCAATATCCATCATTAACAACAGTAAGATGCTTCATACCCACATTTTCAGCACAATATTACTTGGTGTTTCAGATTCATTGATTGCTTCCCGTTTCTTGAATTTATAAATAATTGTGTTGTTATTCTATGAAATGTGAGCAAAGAAGAATAGTCAATTGTATGCCCTAACAACCCTGTCACCAACGTTACGGAAGTGGTCTTAATTAGGTGTCAAATACCTCTGGTCACCCTTCGAGGACCTTAGCAACAGAAACAACAGCGTTTGCTGATAGGAAACAATAACTAATGGAGAGAGCTGTCACAAGAATAGTGCTGACTGTTGAGACTGGAAGTTGACAAGACGAGTGGTAAAACAATTGAGCCGGATCCTGGGAAGAAAAACAGTCTGATGACATTGTATTTTACCAAGAAACACGTTACAGAAAATGAAGACAAGCAATACATGATGGATAAGAATGTAAAGTTCACATTATTTTTGCATTGTTCACACGGTCAATAACTGACAAGTCTTGGATAAGGTTCCATGGGGTCGCAGATTTCGCATCCCAGCATGTTAAGACCTGCTTGTTTGCATGTAATGAATGACCTCTTGGGGGTGATTATACAACACAATAGTAAATAGAAACGTGTTATTTTCAAGGACGATGGACAGCGAACAATGGAGCAGGAAGAGGAAGGCTGCACGCAACGTAAGCAGGTCTCCTCATCTCATCTAAGTCGTCTGATCAAAGTGCTTAAGGCATTTCCTGTCTTTAGGACTTATTCGTGGCTTATCCACTTATAAACAAAAAAATCTAGCTTGCTCATTCGCCACAGACTAACAGAAATCACATTTTGACAAGTATTGCAACTCTCCGTTTGTTAAAAATCAACATTTTTGTAACTTTGTACACACTTTATAGCCTGTTTATGCTGGCCGGTGAAACACAGTGTTTTGGGTTGAGTAGAGGCCAGGATGTCAGGTGGAGGGAAGCCAGCTGTGGACACAATCGTCCAGCTAGAAAGAAACGGGGCTTGTTTTCTGTGAGGGAAAATTGGTGAAAAGCAATTTATTACTAAGAAAGGAAGCATGTTTTTTGGCATTAGTCCCACACAATGCACAATCAACATGTTTTTCTAGTCCAAAGAGTAGAGTGGAGAGAGCATCATTAAGCAATCTTGCATGCAACATTGTATTATCTGCTTAGAAGGAGAGGAGGTTTTCTGAGAAAGCAAACTAAAGTCAGCTTTCATGCGATAGAGAATATAGATTAAAATGCTAAAAGTTATTATTACGAGATGTACACATGCATGTCACAACTGCTGCTTTTTGTTACCTCTCACTTTCCTCTATCAGGGTGTTTTTTCGCTGAGAATGAATAGATAACACACACAGGACACAAGGATACTTGGAAAGCTCCCGGTGGACCTATTCATCTGTCTTCCTGAATTCATCTCACTAGCGGCTCACGACAAGCTGTTTGAACACGGGACTGTATAGATTTTCTGATTGATTTATTTTTGTATTTTCCTTTGTCGTGGCAAAATGAAAATAAAAACAGTATATCCAAAGGCAACAGAAGGCAATAATGAAGCTTAACCTATGGTAGCATTTTGTCATCGAGTTTTTGGACACAGAAATGTTTTTAATAAAAGGCTTGTGTCTATTTTCAAAGTGGAAAAAAATAGCTCTTTTTATTAAATTTGATAAGATTAGATTTCCTTTATTGATCCCAAATTTGGAAATTGTTTTGTTACAGCAGCATGTTGACAAGGCATTGAGTTAAAAATACAAATAGAAAATAAATAAAAACCGTAAATACATGCATATCAACAGATACATATAGAGTACATCTATCAAACAACAACATGCTACTTGTTTTATGACCCTTTATAATAAGACCTGTCTGTTTTTTGGCCCTAACTTTTTTTCAAACTCTCTGGAGGAACTCAATCACGGTCTGCACTGTCAAGTATTTGCTCTGTCTAGACTCTGACTGACAACCTCAGCTGAGATCATGTTAGCATGCAGCCTTTCAGAAGCATGTTACTTAATGATTAGCATGTCTAATGAGAGGCAGAGATGGGAATTTGAGATATGTCTGTCAGAGCTCCAGCTTTACTCCCTCCACAGAGATCCAGGCTGAATTATCCCCGTTGATACCAATCGGATTGCCTGGTGCTTGTTTTATTCTCTTTTCTATTGCATACAATAAACACCTCTATCCTCTATGGTAAGTCTTACATTCCTCTGCCTTATTGAAATAGCTCACAATATTTCCTGTAGGACTTCCTATACGACTGTGCGATACGATTGCCAGACCTTTATGTTATGAGGTCAGATGGTCAGAGATAAAATTAATCATATAGGATCAAGGGGGGGTTTAGTTTCTACAAGGGAAACGGGTCAATATCACCAGCTCTCAAGACCTTAATAGAGTACATTAATAGAGTGCTGTGGAAAGCTGGTTATAGAATATGATGTGAGAAATCTTGTAGGAATTATTTAATGCCGCAAACAAGCTTACAAGAGCTGCTGGATGAATTGATACCACTGCATTACACCATTACATAAAGAGGTCTATCATTCGGGTTTTTTCAGTAAATAACAGAATAATTTGATAACAGAATTGAGAATATTTTCACATAATCACATGAAATTATGTTGCACTTTTGATGGAGTCTAGCAGCAGATAAACCTACTTATAAAAATAAATCTCACAAAAGGGTATGGTGCGCAATGCAGATTTAGTTTTTATTTTCCCTTGTTTTTTACATTTCATGTCACTTGTTATTTGGGGTGAAGTGTCTTGCCCAGGGACACAACGACATGCTGACTGCAGTGGGGTTTGAACCTGTGACCCCCTGATCCAAACACCAACGCACAACCCACTGCACCACACGCCTCCCTTTTGATTTAGATATCTGTCTTTCTTTTTTTAGTTTTTTAAAAGTTGCACAAGACGATTTACATTCAACGGATTTACAAGTTCACACATTGTATTTTCATTTAATGAGGGTCGACAGCTTGTTGACCAAAAGCAACCCATTCACAACGCTTATTCCTTACTTTATTTTCAATTGAAAGTTCATAATAATGGCATAAATCAAGAGCGTTGGCAGGTTTTTAGTGCTTTGATTGGCTAGATATATATGTTTAAAATTGCTCAATTTTCAGCAAAGATAACACCACAGATTTGTGGTTGTGTAGCAACTGCACGAAACATAAACAAAGCAGCTAGTTGTGCTGGGGTTGTGAGGAGGAAACGCCAGTGTCCTATAGTAATCATCAGTGCATCAATATATATTTTGCAACATATATGTATATTTAGATTATTTTCAATGTACACAAAGCATTACAGACTAATATAATTCATGTTGAACAGATTTACATTATATTATTCCTATTTACAGACCTTTTATATACAAATATACTTTACAGTCAGATATAAATGTCTTTATAACATACATGTGGTCATAGTGGTCTGACAATTATTACGCATTCATGTGCAGAAGATTGTTTTTGTCTGGAGTGCAAAGGAAACCCAAGAAAAGACCCCCTAACGGGGCAGGATGTCAGAAAAAAGTCAGGAAGTGTGTTGACGTCGAGAGTATGGAATGTGTAAGCTTCTCCACAACATTTTGAAAAAGCAGTGGGAGGGGTCTGTGGGGCGGTAGGTAGACCCCTCCAATGTCCTGCTATTTTAAGGGGGGTCCCATCTGTTTGTGCTGAAATATGAAAGCCATTATTTAGAGACACACACAGGACTGCAAGCTGCAACATTAAATCATTAGTAAATAGTTGGATGCACGCCTGATTTATATGTAACCTAAGACTTTTGTCACAGGTCAAAGGAAAAGGTTTCTTTTTACACAAGCCACTAAAATGTGTGGTTCTGAGAAAAACCACAAAAATGGAAAGCTGAGCCCAGAGGACGAGGGGTCTGCCTCGGTTTCTTAAAAGTAGGCGGTCTGGAAGAGTTGCTTCCACCACAGCACACCTCCTGGCTGCCATGTACGTTTATCTCTGGAAACACTCAAACAGGAAGGGGTGTTCACTGGCACTACAAACACAACCATCATTAAGAGCATGAGTAGGGAAGTAAGGAAATGTGTTTTCCCCTAAAAAATATCTAAAGGGAAATCATGGGAACACAGTAACAGGGGCAGCCAAATGATCAAGGAATTCAACAGAATGCAACGGAATTAGGTCAAAACCCAATTATCAGCATGTTGTGCTTTTACAAAAAAGTGTGGTTGCATACAAGCTTGAACATGTAGGAATACATCTCTACTTTCACCTCCTTTCCCAATATTTTTAGTGAAAAAGAACATATTTGCACACAAACATGTCTGTATTTTCAGTCCATGTTGCACAATTCTCAGTCGACAACATATTTATTCACTCTGTTTCCAAATGTCGATGCAAAAAGCTTGATTTGCTTTAAGGTTTTGTTGTTTGGGCGAAATGTCAGTCACTGTCAGTCATGCCCAACGTTAAAAAGTCTTCATTCATGTATGTTTACCTTGATGCCACTCCCAGATATAATTTCATTCCCACGGCAGTAAACAGATTTGCCTGGCTGCATGTTTACTCCGCCTGAATGGAGGACTTTGGAGAAAGGTCCAGCTCTCTCCAGTTGCTCTGACTGCCCGTGGGGCTGCGATTGTTCAACCTGGTCAGTAATGTTGTTCTGCGGATACTGCTGTCTGAGTCCTCCTTCTTGAAGTCAGTGCTCAGTCTTTGGAAGCAGGAGAAGCAGTGCATAACATCTTGGAGGAGGTGACCGCTGAAGATCATGTATATCCATGGGTTACAGCAGCTGTTGAGACTGGCAAGCAGCGAAGACAGAGCCACTGCTGTGTTCTCAGAATCTGGAGAACAGAGAGAGGAAAGAGGCAAGAGGTGATTCATCTGCAAAACATCTGGTTCAAGCTGGCTACAAAAAAATGTCTGTGAAAGATCATTTATCTGGTGTCAAATGTAAAAACACTTATTTTTTAAATCAAATAACAGAATATCTACCAGTTGCACATGCCCGAAAAGTTACGTTTCTGTTGCAATAACACATTATGAAAGACTTTTTGGATAAGGTGTCATTCTCTTGATATTAGTGATCTAATCTGTCAAGTTGTCAAGCTGCAAGTGGATTCAGTCCCAGAAAAGTAAAAAAAAAAGCACCAAGCTAGTGTAACTTGATGACCCAATTACATTAACAACGTGTTTCAAGAAAGAATATGTATCAGGCAGAATAGGAGACTACACGTGGTGGTATGAGTCTAAGGGTGATGGCTTTTTTAGGAGCAAATGGCTGAGGTATCTTAATCTTAAGAAGACATTACTTTATCTGCAGTAAAACTATTAGTCCTTAAGGCTCACAGTGCTGCACTAAGTTATATTATGTACTCTTTTTTAGACGTATTTTGGGTTTTGTATGCCAAATATATCCGTGCGTAAAGGCTGTGGATATGTGTTTTACGAACAGTGAGGTTTTTTGTTGTTTCAAGTGACATGGTTCTTTATCTGGGCTGTAATGTTTTGACAACATTCCTCAAGCTGTTAACAGTTTTGAATCAAGTGATCATAACTACATTTAATGTATTCATTACTCACCAGCATACTGGAAGTTCTCATCCCACACGGACCACATCTGTACTATGAAAAACGGCGCCCAGCAGACAATGTACGCCAAAACGATCACTAAAGTCATTTTAACAGTCCTCAGCTTGGCTCTTGAAATAGTTGTAACGCTGCTGACTGAATTCTTCCCAATCAGCCCGTTCTTGCTCGCAGCACCAGCCGGCGTTTTCCTTTTCTTGTATTTTATATTTTTCCATATGCTGTGGCAGATGAACCCGTAGCACAACATGAGAAGCACCACGGGGATGAGGAAGATGCTCACTGTTATCCAGGTGATGTAAGCTTTGGGGCCCCACGGCTCGATAAAGTGCGCCCAGCAGTCGGTAACGTTCGAGCTGTCGAACTCACTTTGGGAGAAGATGAAGTACTGCGGAGTGCTGAACAAGAGGCTGCACATCCACGTGGAGACGATCATGATGTAGGAGCGCTGCGTGGGCTGCTGCAGGGTTTTCAGAGGGTGGCAGATAGCAATGTAACGGTCCAGGGTCATCATCACCATCATATAGGTGGAGGCGAACATCCCCATCACCTGGAGGTGCTTGACGATCCTGCAGAGAAAGTCTGGACCGTAGAAGCGGAAGGTGATATCCCAGCAGAGCTGCGGCAGCACCTGGAAAAAGGCGACCACCAGGTCAGCCAGGCTCAGGTGTTTGATGAAAAGGTGCATCCGCGACATCTTCTTCTTCGTGTTGTACATTGCCAGCAGGACGCTCACATTCCCAACCACAGCAACCACGAAGGTGATGCTCAGGATCATGATCTCCATCTGGGCCACCTCCTCGTTTCGCGAGTACGGATCGGATCGGTTCGTGTGGAGGGTGTTGTTTCCAGGTTTCTCCATAGTTAGGTCACCACTGGGACCGAAGACCAGAGACTGGTTCCCTCCGCTCAGGAGCAGAGCATAGTCAGGAGTGTGCATGGCACTGCCCCTCTGTGCGACCTAGCAGATTCAGTGCCAGAGGGGCTGCGAGGTGCCTCTCCAACCCGTATATGGAGCTACCTAATGCTCTCAGAAAGGAATCCGTTGCTCTGTGACTTGTGGCTGCTGCCGGGGCTTTTTAAACTTGAATCGAATAACAGAAAGCGTGTGCGTAAAGTGGACACACTGCAAAAAATAACACACCTCAAAAAATCATTTGGTGTAGGGATATCTCCCCAAGCACACATTGACACCATACAAGGACTGACATTACAACTTATTATTTAAAAAAGTAATATCATAATGTATGTTTATTAGTAATTATAATTAGATTATTCCATGGTTCCAGTGCAAATGAAGATATACTTTCTTATAATTGTATTGCCACTATAGGCTTATTAAATAGAAAAAATACGTTTTCCCAGGGAACAAATAAATGCCAGTTTTGTTTCTTTCCTTCTTTTTCTTCTTGGGTTGAAGTTTTTTTTACTGTTCATTATGATGGCTAAGTATTTTTTGCAGTGGGTGGCCAAGCCCTTCCCCTGGTATTATCCTCCATATCACCACAGGTCCTCCCACTCATGTCGTGGGCAAAATGTTAAGAAAGCATATTTTTATTAAAAGTAACAAGATAAATAAATGATACCTTTCAAGGGAGTAAGAGGGGTAATCATTTGTTAAAATAAGCAGCTATTACTGCAATAGGAATATTGACGAACACACAGGAATGTTGTTTGCTCTCGCCATGCTAAGCAATTACTTGTGCAATGATGAACTGTTTAAAGTTGTTTATCTGCTTTGCTCAAAGAATCACCAGGCCTAATTTGTGCAGGTTCAGTGTTGACTATCGAATGTAAAACAGACCTTTCAAGCTGCGACAAACTGATTATAATCATTCATATTTATCAAATAATGAGTTAAGTGTGTTTTTGTTTGTAATCAAACATTCGGTTCTGCTTTCAAAAAGTTTCATTTACATCCATTTTCATCATTTTTAGCAAAAATCTGGAGGTAGATATTTTTCTGCATTTATCTCTAGGATAGATTTCATTTTTACATGTCATTTGGATTCATCCATGAAGCACAAGTCCCCATGCTTTAAATGATTACGGCATACATAAAATGCTGCTTTAATCACATTGTATCGCATCAGCTCATTCTCCTTAATTTTGTAATTAAAATAATTCACTAATTAGTACATTCTCAGTGTATGAATGTGGCATATATTTAAACACACACTTGCATTGGACTTGTGATGTCACAATGTCATGCTCATGTACATTTCTTAAACTCAGAGAAACGTTTAACCTCAGCAGATCTATCCAAAATGAGCATTCAGTGTCAAACATAGTGACATCACCATGTAACACATTGTCGTTTCAGAAGCTAAGGGGTGTGACATCTCTAAGCGGTTATATATGAACTTGAAAATAAGCATAATATGGACCCTTTAAAATCACCTACTTTTGCATTGTCTAAATGTTCTGTGTCTCTCATAGCTTCCCTTGTTAGAAAGTCCACTGTTGCAATCCTCTCGCTTTTTTTGCCTTTGCATCTTTAGCACCGCCTTAGTTTCCAAGTGACATTTAACAATGTGGATTGCTTATTACAGTTTCCATTGCGAAAGCACATGATTGCCAACTGGCTGTGGGTATCCAACCGCTATTAAGCTCATCTGATCCATGTGCTGATAGTGAGGATAGTTATCTTTATTGCGTTCCCATTGCAGTCACTGTCCAGTTCTCCTCTCTTTCATTTCCGATAGCCCTTGTAGTAAGTGGTGCAGATTGGACCCTCCTCTGGCTTAGTGGTTTAATTAAGTTTTCTCAATTATCTCTGCGTGAGTCTCTGCTAATCTTGCCATCACAACCACAGCCAGGGAAGTTTCTGATGCCTCTGGCTTCTGTTGACCAGTTAACCAGCCTCCCCTCATGTTATGTGTCTGATTTATCCCCCCCCCCATCCTCTCTGTTACAGTCTTGTTTGGTCCTGGGGGTGCAATGACAGTACGGATGTCTCCCTTCACGCTGGACTGAACCACGTTTACCCTCATCTCCTGTTTTTGAGATGTTCACCGGAGACTCCCTGTGCTATTATTGTAGCTCCAGGCTTGGATTGTCTCATTTGTTCATCCGAACATGAAGACCCTGTTCGCCATTCTCCACTGCGGACGGTGTGTCTAGGGCCGGGAATCATGGGAATGCGTGTTGTGTCTCCAGTGGCTGTAGCAGTCAGTCTGAATTATTTCCGTTATGTTTCCCTTTCACTCACGGGCAAGAGGTTCTGTAAGCTCTCCTCAGACTCTCTGGAACTTTTTTTTTTTTTATCCTTAGGGATAAAGTGTCTTGTTAATGAGTTTTTTCTTTCATAAAACAGAATGTCTTTCTAACATGTTATTAAGAAAGCTTTGTGAATATCAAAAGATCTTCATTACACATTTTAATTGAAATATGTAGCTTGAATAAAGCCCCGAATCCACAGAGTAATTCACCATTTTTTTTGTATTTCTTCCTTGTCGACTCCTCCTCAGTTCTCTCCATTTTTTAAATGTGGGCACAATGGTAGACTCAATATTTCTGTTCATTATCACATTTCAGTCATTGAGGATCAATTGGCCCTCGGTTAAGAAACAAATAGTTTCTAAAAGTTAAACATTAGGTCTTTGGGGGCTTATACGTTGTTTATGTCTCTGCCCTATGTAATCTCATGCATGAGAAGAATGTCGACTCTTAAAAAACTTCATAGGCATGCTCCCTTACTTCTGTCTGGCATACATCATCAACACCTCATGAGCTATAATACCCTGTCAGTTTACCCTGCTCCCTCTATGACATAACACTGACATCAAGAAGGAGCACCTGAAAACAATTGTTGAAAACGTTTTTTAAAAAGCTTCAAAGGATCAAACTCCTGAATCAGAGTTATACCTGTTTTTCTATATATTATGAATAAAAGCACACATCTGTTTGTCCCCTATGTGACCTCAGTCTTAAGGCCCCGCCTGCACACCAAACTGACACCAAAGAACACGACTGTTGTGTCGCCTCACGTCTCCTGCGTCCTTACACACCAAACTGACACCAAAGAACACCAAAGAACACGTCCCGACTGAACGTCGCCTCACGTCTCCTCGCGTCGCCTCGCGTCTCCTCGCGTCGCCTCGCGTCTCCTCGCGTCGCCTCGCGTCGCCTCGCGTCTCCTCGCGTCTCCTCGCGTCGCCTCGCGTCTCCTCGCGTCTCCTCGCGTCTCCTCGCGTCTCCTCGCGTCGCCTCGCGTCTCCTCGCGTCTCCTCGCGTCTCCTCGCGTCGCCTCGCGTCTCCTCGCGTCTCCTCGCGTCTCCTCGCGTCTCCTCGCGTCTCCTCGCGTCTCCTCGCGTCTCCTCGCGTCGCCTCGCGTCTCCTCGCGTCTCCTCGCGTCTCCTCGCGTCTCCTCGCGTCGCCTCACGTCGCCTCGCGTCTCCTCACGTCGCCTCACGTCTCCTCACGTCTCCTCACGTCGCCTCACGTCTCCTCACGTCGCCTCACGTCTCCTCACGTCTCCTCACGTCGCCTCACGTCTCCTCACGTCTCCTCACGTCGCCTCACGTCGCCTCACGTCTCCACACGTCTCCTCACGTCGCCTCACGTCTCCTCACGTCGCCTCACGTCTCCTCACGTCGCCTCACGTCGCCTCACGTCTCCTCACGTCTCCTCACGTCGCCTCACGTCGCCTCACGTCTCCTCACGTCTCCTCACGTCGCCTCACGTCGCCTCACGTCTCCTCACGTCTCCTCACGTCGCCTCACGTCGCCTCACGTCTCCTCACGTCGCCTCACGTCGCCTCACGTCTCCTCACGTCTCCTCACGTCGCCTCACGTCGCCTCACGTCGCCTCACGTCTCCTCACGTCTCCCGTCTCCTCACGTCGCCTCACGTCTCCTCACGTCGCCTCACGTCGCCTCACGTCTCCTCACGTCGCCTCACGTCTCCTCACGTCGCCTCACGTCTCCTCACGTCTCCCGTCTCCTCACGTCGCCTCACGTCGCCTCACGTCTCCTCACGTCGCCTCACGTCTCCTCACGTCTCCTCACGTCGCCTCACGTCGCCTCACGTCGCCTCACGTCTCCTCACGTCTCCTCACGTCGCCTCACGTCTCCTCACGTCTCCTCACGTCTCCTCACGTCGCCTCACGTCTCCTCACGTCGCCTCACGTCTCCTCACGTCTCCCGTCTCCCGTCTCCTCACGTCGCCTCACGTCGCCTCACGTCTCCTCACGTCGCCTAACGTCGCCTCACGTCTCCTCACGTCTCCTCACGTCTCCTCACGTCGCCTCACGTCTCCTCACGTCTCCTGCGTCTTGGCCATGTTTCGCACTGGAACACACTGCAAAGACTTCAGCCGACGGCCAAGTAGCACGTACGAACTGCGTATGCGTGAGTGGCAGGTAAGCAGGCGGCGGTAGTGTGTATTCGTCATTCAAAAGAGGCAACAACCAGAAGACAGACTGCGTGATACACCAAGAGAAGAAGAACAGACTGCGTGATATAAACAAACAACAAATAGCGTGTGCGTTCCATTTTCACTCTACAGCGAGAAGCTCATGGGGCTTTCCCGAACCTGTGTCGAGAGCTGGAGTTAAATTAAATCTCAGATTTGCCTTCTTAATAGTTTGTTTGGGTCCCTCACTTCCATTTTGAGTGATTTCTTTAGCCGAAGTCCTTTCACTGACAGCCTACCGATTCAACATGTTGAATCGGCGGCGGAAGGCGTCGGCACTGCCGAAAAGACACGACGGGGCGGGACACACCAATCTGAGTAGGGCGACAGGACGCTCATCGACGGCCAGACATCTATCGACATCTATCGACGGCCGAAATCGGCTCGGTGTGTAAGGACCTTTACAAAGATCATGTCAAACAAAACATTTCATTATCTGTTTACTTTACGAATGAAGATGACAATTAGCAGGACCTCCGCAGAGACCAATAATACATACGTTATGTAACTTTATGTATGTTCTCCT